AAAATTGACGAAACGAAAAATTGAAAACCTTCGACCAATTTTTTCAATGGAATTTGTTGAAAATTGTTTTCAAAATGTAGCTGAGCTAGAAAATGGCTTAGTACTTAATTCCAGTGTAACTTAACAATAAACACAACAAACAACATTTGGGAACTGAAAACGTAAATTTAGAAAAAAGCAAAGAAAACAACAAAAATTCATTTCCGATGAAACTAGAAGTTTTGCAACCAACTTTAGCTTGCCTCTAAGAAGACTTGATTTTGTAGTATTGCAGAATTCCACACTGATAGTCTAGAATTTTCTTTTTTGGATTGAAAAGCAGAAAAACCGAAAACCATGACATAGAACACATGAACACATAGGATACACATTTTAATTATATTCCTTTATGACAATTCTTGTATCAACCGTTAAATAACTTTTAAGGTGTGTCGCCTTCCATTATTTTGATATTTTACATACTGGCACCAAAAACCTAAATAAATGGAACAGAACACGTCAAAATTGATGTAAACCGGAGGGTTGCCTGGGGAGGGTATTTGTGTCTGCATAATTTTGCGAGTTATATTCCTTTAAATTTAGAACAACTAGAGTTAGTCAATAATATACAAATTTGTTCATTTTACCAAAATTTACATAATATTGATCATTAATAAACAATATTCAGTCTGTGTGGCTGATTATACGTAAAACAAACAAAAATAAAAATAATGTTGAATTTGCTTTTACAGAATTCCAGATATTCGATTATTCCAGGTTTGAAACCGGTAAACTACAGCTATACAATTCGCTAATTAATAACAAAATTATTTATTCATTAACGACATTTCCATAATCACCGCCTCATTTTTCAATCGAACAATCCTCTAATAAAACCCATTCTGATAAAAAACCATCAACCTCCATGCCTCCAGCGGACAATTAGACGGTGCATCAAGTGCACAAAGCGACAGAAATAGGCTCCACCCACACTATTCGGAAGGTCGGGCCTCTCTCTTGACAGGTGCTGCCACCTCGACGCAACAACTCAACTACGACGCATTAATCTCTCACCGGGTGTTTCGCCCTGATAAATGCCCGCCAACATCCACACTCCAATCACTCTCGAATAAATTCCACGAAAAAAACTAATCACACAAGCAATAAAATCAAATCGATCCCACTGAATATGCAACCAAAATTAAGCCACATATTAATAATTTATTAAGTCGAGTGGATATTGCAAAAACATCAAACTGAAAAATCAGAAACTGTATCGAGCAATAAATTAATGCAAATCCTGACTTTATTGCAATAAATCTTTACAGTTATGACCGACGAATAAAACTATGGCAGGGCGATGACTGGTTTTGAGGTTAGGATTGAGACTGGCGCACGAAGCAAGGTTGTGGGTTTTTCTGGTTGTAGATGAGGAGAAAAAGCGACTTAAGTGGGCGATTTTTGCTTACCGGTTGTTTTTGGGGCACTTGATTCACGAAAAGTTGCACGAGTTTGTCGTAAACAACGCTAGACTTGGCATCGCTGAACTTTACAGTGGTGCCACACAGCGGCGTGTAGGCAAAAGCAGGTAATGTAGAGATTTTAGTTTAAACGCTCGTAATTTGATTTTAGTGCGGCTTGGCTTTTTTATTCACGGTTTATTTATGGATGGTTGTAATGTTATTTATATGTCATTATCATTTATTGCTCGACACTCCCTTTACAGCACGAGTTCCGTAATGATTTTCACTATTATCATCGTGTCAATTTATAACTGTAGTGTGACATGTGGACCATTTCTAAATCTAGGTACGCCTTGCTTAATACCAACGGTGGGACTACTTTTAAATTTCGTGGTAATAATTATTTATTATTTTATTATAATGTTACCAGTGTTCGAGATTTATCATCTTGAACCATTATAATCGACTACCAAATTTATTGGCATTAGCTGGATTTAGTATCTCATTTATTTAAATATGTTTAATGGAACTAGTATCTCATGAATTAGAAGTCCTTGTAGGTGGAGTAGGGATATATCGATAATATTTATCATATAGAAAGTGTTAAAAAATTGGTTTTATAAGACACGATGTTATTATTGCTTTCATCGTGTTGGTCTTAATGTTTCGTTTTAATTAATAAAGAGGTTAATATTCATATCAATGTCGCTAGGTAGTTATACACTTTTAAAAAATTATCATTAAGATGAAATAATAAATCAGCTGATAGATTTAAGTAAATATCAGGGTCACCCGGTACTATAAATTTATTACTGAAACAAACTGACGACGTGATAATTAGGAAAGTAAATAAAACGTAGGTCACTTTTACTACACTGATCAGATTTAGATTTGTTTTTAGTTTTAAACTATGCCTACACAATAAAAAAATGTTTAGAAATTGTGGTAAAAATTAATTGTTTAATTTACAATTATATTGTAATTTAATTGGTGTTAAAATGTGTGCTATGGTGCGTTATCCATTACCTTGACAACATATAAATTCGATTAAATTTCCGCGAAATCACGAGATTCATAAAACAAATTTTGTTTCCGTCTAAATAGGTAAAAAGTGGCTGAAAATCTTTTGAAGTTAAATTAGATAAATTTATTCGTCTTTTCGACCTATACCTAAAGATGAAAAACTCGTCATGGTAAGTGTTCCCATTTAAAATTTTGCGTTGAGAGTTTATTATTGGTAAACTCACAGTTAACAGTCATGAAATTGGCCATAACCACGTGTTAGGAAATTCACTTGTTCAGGCTTCATTATTTTGTTTATCAAGTTATAACTAAGGTTTTTGGTTGTTTTTACGTATATTCTTACAGATCTAATTATTTTATTGCTGTTTTAATAATATTTTTTATATTTGTAAGTACATTTTGAGTAGATTTTTTATTTACAACGCTTAAATTTCATTTCCACTTAAACCAAGCGGAAAAATACATCAAATGCTCAGCCGAATGCTCAAACCTGTAAATCTGCTTGATATTTAAAAATCGAGAGAAATCAACTCCAATTTATTATCAGCAGCGGAACAACATTTTTGAATGTAATAATACCACCTAGAATAAAATTAGATTCTGAACTTGGCATATTAAACAGATAAGACAACTTTACATCAACTTTTATTTTAATGGCTTTACAAACACATTTGTTTAACAGTTTAATAATACTAGCTCGAGATTTCTGATCAGTGGAATAACATTAACAACCAGTTTACCAATGCATTTATTTCTCAGACGACCTTAATAAATTAAAAATAACACTTATGTTGAAACATATCAATAAAATCAATAAAATTTCACGTTTTTACATGGCATCAATTTTATAAACTGGGAACTTGTAAAAATCTATAAATATAACATCGCTGCGACGATTATACACCTCGCGAACATAAAAATGCTAGAGTCGGAGTCGTATATCAAAACCCGGTATACTATCGGAGTTACGTTCGTAATCAGCGGATTCATAAACATTTTTAAGGTCATCGCTCGAATAATATTATTGTGAAAAAAAGTTGCAATATTTTAAAGCCGAAATTTTGCTGTGAATACAAATTAATGATGTGTGAGGTTAAAGTTGAAGTGGAACGGTAACTCATCCTGATTTTAATTTCTGGAAATGAAGAAGATTTTGATGTTTTTGTGGCGACATTTCCAAGTACGTTGACTTTGTATTGTCATCTCGAAAACAATCAGATTTGAATGACATTCGGGTTAATAAAATATGCAAATTGTTATTTGTTGTCGTTAATTTCGTAGCAGGGGGCATATAAGTCACTTTATACTGGAATTGTCACCTTGAAATTAGTTTATTTATTTTTTCTGATTTATTAATCCGGCATAGAGCATAATTTTTACTGTACTAAAGGGAGTGTAACGTAAACAGGTTATGTAAAAAAATGTTCAAGAACAATGTCACACTACTTCAAGATTAACTTAAAAAGAAAACTAAAAGTTTAAAGAATGGGATTTTTTTCCTAAAAACTGATAAAAAATATAGCAATATTTTTTCTTAGTTCAATTTTACCCTAGGTTGTCATCAGAACGGCGAGAAAAATATTTTTTGAAAATGTTTTAAAAATATTATAAGGGTAAAAATCACTTTAATATTATAAAATTTCTTGAACAAAATACATTGAAATTTAAGCTCTAATTTAATCATTGAATACGGCAGAGGGTCAGCCCGCATTTATTTATTTGTCCCCTCCATAAGACTGATGACGTCAACGCGAAAGATTTTTTTTAATAGGTACATTTCAACTAACTGCAGGATTATCTTATGAAAAATGTCAGTTACCAGTTTTATAAGATATATTTCAAACATTTCTAGAGGCTTCAAGGAACTTATTTCTGGACCAGATATCTTATAAAAACATTAAATAAAAATGATATTCTTATTTTTTATGTTAAAATAACAACAACAATTATTTATTGGTGATAAAGAAATCATAACATACAACGCATTAGTGAAGTACTAATCAAATTTGATAATAAAGTGAATAATAAAAGTTGCCAACAGCTTTTAATGTTTGAAATGTTGCAGACCATGATATTAAATAAATATTTGTTTTAAAGATAATCACATTTTTATAGTAAGTAGATTTTAAAACAATATTAAAAACATGACGTTATAAATTATAGCCGGCTAAAAATTTTCAGAGTTTGTTTCCAACATAAAACCCGTGTAAACAAAAATATTTGTCGTGTCTTTATGATTACTACACAATTTATTTAATTTTTCCTATGTATAAAATGACCTAGTAAGGTTTTATACTATTTGCATGTTTAAACCACTGTTGCAATAAAATTTTATGATAGGTGCTATAATTTATACTTGATCTTTTATATGCTAAATCAGTTTAAGTCTATAAATATTTAAAATATAAACTATTTTGTTTGACACAAAAAACTCTAGATAGATTTTGTAAATAACGTCAGAAGTGGGATCAAGTATATGATATATTTTTAGTTGTTCGTGAATTATACTACACAAAAATTAAAAAAGTTGATCACCAAAGTTTATCCGAACTTCTAGACCACCGCTGCCGCTTCTGCATCTCTGGTAGTCGTCCAGCTATGATTCCTCTTCGGCGCCGCTGCATGCTTGCATCAAGTACGATGCACTTTTTCCCGCATCCTGCTGATGCGATGTATGCATCTCGCGGGATTGTTATAAATAACCGCCACCCCACACACCGCCGCCGCCGCCCCCCGCCGCCTGCTCGCCGCCGCGCAAGCATCAAGAACAACAACATCAACAACAGGTGAACCGCTCGCAACAATAAAGCACGCGTGCATCGTATTGACAGCTCGCAGCCTCCGTAGCGAGGCTAGGCCTCGGCGAGAGGCCGAGATCATAAAGTAGGCGTCGCCCGCGCCAGGCCGCGCCCACCTGTCAAACTGACCATGAAGTTGCGCATTAGCAAGCTCGCAAACTGGCAGCAAGAGCGGTCCCGAAGAGGAGGTTGAGAGATGTGCTCGGGCCGGTGACGAGAGATGACATCCTGAAAAACAGACAGAGAGCGAGGACGACGCGAGCGACGCCGGAGACGCCGGCGCTACAACCTGACGAAACGTTGCGCCGATTGTCGTCCGCCGGTGGTGGGGGAAGCGCGCTCCGCGTTGTCAGTCACTCAGTCAACGGAGGCCCTGCATCCGAGAAGGACGCTCTTCATTGTCCGCGTTGACATTCGCGCCAAATCGCGGTGTGCCGTGCCGGGCGACTGTGACGAGTGCGAGCCATGAGCCCTCGGGCCGAGGCGCGTCCGAGGTGCCGGTGCTGTGCAGTGCGACACTGATTGTTCCATTGGTTTTGCGCTTGTGCTGAGTTCTCGACATGAACTAGTGGGTTCCTCAACGACGCCAACATTTTGCGAAAACTGACCGCGCGAGAGGGCAAAATGCCGAGACGCAAGCAGGATTGCCCCAAAAGGATGAAATGTAAGTGCCCGAACGATACGCGATGCGCACGATCGAGGCGGCGTGGCGAACATGTGCTTGGTCGGACACGCGAAAAACGCGCTCCGGCACAAGAACACGCCAAACTGACAAAATTATCAGACCCGACTGCACTTTGCCCCCAAAAAACACAACTCGGACACTACATATATTCCGAAAAAATACACCGGCCATTGCTTTCGTCGCACCACAAAACGAAACTCGTATGAGTGCCAAATCAAGTCAAATTTGACAGTTTCCGAACTTTGAGTGGTTCAATTTGCCCCCGTGTCCCCTACGTTAAAAACGGCACACTTTTCGGAATCGTGGTGGCTCGGACACCTGAAATGAACCAAGGTAGAGCGAGTTTTCATCCACTGACTCCACCATTGTTGGTTCAACGTGCACCGCCCACCGTTCACGTGGTAGGAATAAATTAAGTTGCAAGTGTCAAAATTCCGTAATGCCGTGACGCAACGCAGTTCCTTATTAATTTCTAGTCCATTTTCAATAACTCGCTTCCAATTAAATCGGAAAGAATGCCGATGCACTTAAAATATTTTCTTATCGTATTTTACGTTGTAGCAATTAATGGGAATTTGCAGTTTTCAAAGTCGCGCCTCAAGGAAATTTAATTTTATGGCGTTTTTAATTGAAGCGTTTGTGATTTATGGTCGCGATGGTCGAGAGTTTTGCTGAAAACGTTGATGGGTCGGTGAAGACCTTGTAGATGGAGAAAAATGGCCATCAACTAGTCGATTAAAATTGCAGTCATAAATCCACGGAGTTCTGTTCTAGTGGGAAGTGAACGCATGAAGTCGATGAGGAATTATTTTAATTTGTTGGAGAAGAGCGGGGTGAAGTGCCTATTTTGGCGAGAGCCAATCATTGTGGGATAAAACAATATTTTATTGTTATTGGCACGAAATAAATCTCGAATCGTAGCAAATGAAAATTTAGTGTCTTGGCGTGTCGGCTGTAAAATGCGAATATTTATGATTAAAAATTGAAAATGGGGTAGGGCATTGGCCCGACGAAAGCCTGATCCAATTAAGTTAATGTGATGTGATACGATCGTCGTCCTTGAAAAATAAATAAATTATTCTTAAGTCAGCCATTTCTAGAAATAGCCGTTGATTTAGTGTCTAACGTTTGTCTTGCCTCGATAAAACAAGACGATGAATCCAAATACAATAAATTTCGTCAAACAGTTGTTGTGCTGCCATTATGTTTTCGGTATTATTAATAAAACACTGGAAAATGATTATAAAAATAGAGACGTCCCAGCGTTGGCACTATAAAAATGACAATAAATCAAAAGCATTTCCTAAACAACACGACCAAAACTCCACGTGTATTTTTATAAACATGCCCACTTGGAAACTTCGTTCTGACAGGAAATATTACGTGCCATTTCGACATATTTCCTAACAGATCGAATCAAATCTTACTCGGAACAATTATCATCCTGTAAATTGTTCGCCCACACCGTGGACGTTTCAGCATGTGTAGCACTTTATTCATGTTTATTACAAAATCCATTTTATGTCTTCATTTAATCGTGAAATTTATTAAAATTGTATTAAGAGTATTTGCTCATATCGATTTCTCAACTGTGACTCACGATATTTTCCACAGTTTATATTGCCATGCAAGCAAGCTTTGTTATTTATATTATTGCCTTATTTCAGGTTAGGCATCAATAATAGATATTTTTTAATACGTCGACTTTCCATTAAAACTAATTTTATTTCTTCATAATAACCGACATAATCTGTCGGCGTGTCGCCACTCCACATTTTATTACAACCAACGATTTTTTCAATATAGCTGAAATCGCACGATTAACATTACTAACCCATTCATTTCCTTTCCCATTTGTGGCCACACGGAGACATTTATATTAAAATATCGACCTTCGAGATTCCTGTCGCTTCGGAAATCAAAACGTGGCTTTCTCAAAATAGCCAAACCGAAAGCGAAAAACACTGTGATAAAACGGTTCAGTCGTCTTCATCTAGACCAGAATTTCGCAAACTCGCCGTTCCATTGTAGTATTTATAAAATGTTTTTCACGTGTTCCGCTAAAATAAAATCCCGGTTTGATTTTCGAGAAACGATTTTTGGCATGCTGAATGGACATTAAACACGAGGGTTCCATTGACACAATCAAGTCGCGAAAAAAGTATGCCAAAACGGAATCGTCCGTCTCCAGGTAATTGTGCGAAGCATGAAAAACGCAATATTTGTCGGCGGGGAACCGCGCCACGAATTTAATAAAATTAAGCATAATTTACGGCACTTTGAGACTTCTTAGCATACATCTGATTTAATCAAATTTGTTTGAGGATATTTAAAGCGAGAACCTCCGAAATATTGTTTAAATCAGCGCGAATTTATGGCTTTTTTGACAGTCTATTTTATAGTCACTTAATATCCATTTTTATAAGTTTCGTAAGACGTTACAAGCGGAATTTATTTAAGAATCTGTGAGATGTTAATTATCGTTCAAAGTGCAAGAAACTTTAATTCATGCACGCTTTTCGAAGCAAGAGGAGATTTTTGGCAAGATTGCGATTACCGGACGCATAAAAATCGTGTGATGGTCTTGCTTGTCACGAGTACGCCTCTGGTTTGAGAGTTATGTAGGGTATTAGATACAGGTGAGCGAACATCTCTTTGTTATGTTCCGTATGTAAAAATGGAGCTAGTTTTGGTCGAATTTTGACAACGTATTTTGAAAAGTTGGTTTTTTCTGGACTGCCGTAAGTGCGATTTATGGGTTGGTTCAACGTAATTTTAAGTAGGTTAGCGTAAGTAATCCGATTATCGAAAGCTTGCGCTTTATACTTGGCGGGAAGTTGTGTTATAAGCTTCGTTTTAATGTAATAATATTAACGATCATGCATAAATCTGATTCGGTTAAATAATTTTTCTGTACATTAAGTGTGATTAACTTCAGAAGTTTTAGTTTTTAATTTAAATGTAATTATCCTTCCAATTACGCTGCAGTAGTTGCACGAATAACTAACTGAAATAAATTTTTGATGGACAGCCAATTTTTCATTAACGGCCATCACTCCGAGCTTTTATAAAATATAAATTAATTTTTGCACTCTATACATTTTTTTTTATTAATTTTCACGGTTTTACTATTTTAACGAAGTGCTAAAATGTGTATAAAAACTTGTATAAATTATAAGTGGCAACTGCAAGTGTATAACAGACACTTGATAACAACTTTTACCTTATCTATGTCGAAATGCCACGACAGTTTAATGTTACTGTAATATCGAAACCCCCACATTTACGATGTATTAAATTTAAGTCGGCTGCACTGGCTTGAATTTTCGCTTGTTACACAACGTGCAAAATCAATTGTCTATTGGTGAAAGCAGATGACTAATTTAACAAAGTTGGTCCCTTTTTCGGTCAACAGGTCAACTTTTACGTTTCTCTATTATTTCAAAATGTTGATGGCGATGAAAAATTCATTTTGAAACGTATATTTCATGCCTCCTTTTAATGGTAAAAAACGGGATGCCACTATTAATGCGGCTTCGAGGGGCAAAAGAGTATCAACAACAACTGCGAAAGTAATATGGGTTGAAACATTTTATGGCTACCATTAAAATGAAAACATGTGGGTAGCTAAACCCTTGTACACACCGGAAGTAAAGTTCGATGCTATTTAACGGCTTGTAAAGTGCTGTCTTTCGATATTAGCATATGCAATATAACCTGGCAAAACGTGGTAATTTAATAAGAATGTTATGATCGTTATTATCGATAACGCGAAATGATCACATTCGAGCCAGAATTTTGAAAAAGAAGACGAATTAGGTGTAGAGGCGACAGAGAGTTATATGTCCATAATAAAGTACGTTTCATTGACATTTTTTTCTTTGTGTTGTTTTTATCAAGATAATTAGATACGCAAGAATGCGTAAAAACTACTTTATTATGAGTTATTTCTTTTTATTTAGCTTTCTAAAAACGTTGATTCAATTAAAACTGTTCTCATCTTCTAGGTTTCATCTTCAGGGAATAGCCATTCATTCCAAGTGAAGTAGGACATTAATTTTTGTCCAATTCCAACAAAACTGTATTAGAACTCAAAAAACATTGTGATTTATAATTTATATCACAACAGTTTATTGTGTTATAATTTTTGGTTATTGTGTTCAAAATTGTGATTTTTGATAAACACAAACAACTATTTTTTTATTTTATATAATATTTGAAAACATGATTAACATAATTGTCACAAAAGATTAAAGCAAATATATTGTTTTTTATATTTTCAAAACTTTTTAAAACGTGTTACCATTATTTTCTTTTAATTCACCCGTGTAAATAATAAGTAAAAATGTTGAAGTAGATGTCTACGATTTCTTTTTTGAGTCAAGAAAAATAAACATGTTTGATGTGTACATAACAAATTTCGTTAGATTTACATTTGGCTATGTAGTACGCTGAAAAAATTATAGTTGGGATGGAAATAGGTTCAGTAAATTTAGTTTCGATGGTAAATTGAAAAATATAAAATGGTACATTTTTTTAAAAATTTTAACAACAATATGTGGCTTTCATTTTCAATTATATTGCACTGAAAAAAATTTATATACCATTTTAAAGAAATGTGTCCAATAAAAAATTATTTTGAGATAGAGTCAACTGCTTTCAAATTGACCCATTTACCCATTTTTTCCAGTTCCATATTTACCCATTCAACTGTAGAAGTTACAGAATTTCCCTAGCCGTTGAAGTACAATACAATAAATTCCTGTTCTTTGAAAAATAATACATTTTCACTTTGCGACAATTAATTTGTGATAATCTCTATACATTAAACAAAATTAACTTCGAGTGATTCTAAATTCGATCATAGCACGTTCCGACAATAAACATCTGGGTTAAAAGAAAATGAAATTTAATTGATTTTGTTTCCTCAAAATAGAGGAGAGGACTATTTAATTATTTAAGCTACAATGGAACAAAAC